TTCTAGAATACAGAGATAAAAAATTAAGTCATTAGACATACATGGAAAATCTTGGATTTCTAGAATACAGAAATAAAAAAAAAAAAGTCATTAGACATACATGTTTTTTGTATAGATTAGATAGGATTTACACTCATATCAAATATCCAGTCTTCAAGTACTGAGATAAATGTTATATGCCCTTATTTGCCCCACTAAAATTAATATGTATGTTTTGAATTATTCATAAAAACCAGAAAACAAATACTTTTCCAAATGAAAATATCATCTGTGCAGATTATGCTGTTAGATCAAACATAATCAGCTTCTTAAAGAATATTAGTGATGCTAATTTTTCTTCTCTCTTTCTCACCCTTCCCTCTCCTTCTATTCCTGAAAGACCATCCTGTTTTCTTTACAGACCATTCCACTACAAAGGGTTTCAGTTCTGTACCCGATTCTTTGCATTTGCAGATATGTTATGCTTTTCAAATCCTACTGAAACTTTCATGTTTTACTCTGTGAAAGCCTTATTTCTTAATAGTTTCATGTTCTAAGCACACAACCTGAATTAATCCTTTTCCTGGTTTTGTTATGCAATGACATGGGTAGATCAGGTGGTGAACAATCACAAATACCATGAAAAAGGCAGCTGAGGGTCACACTAAGTGCTTAATCTTTATTTGCAAATAAAGATTATTTACTGCATAACCAGTGAAGGGAAGTATAGGACTCAGAAGTGTCCTTTCTGTGAGAAGCCTCTTAAACTGCTATTCATCTGCCTTATCTGCTGTTCCCTGTGAGACAGTGGACATTTTACTACTTAAACCTTTAACAATGCTTAGTAATACTAACAAAGTATGTTTAGAAGTTATTGAAATGATTGGAACCTTGGGTTAGCACAATGAAGTTCAAAATAAATGTTTCTATAATTCTGGCAAGTAGGGAATTTGATATTTCCTAACTTTCAAGATATGAAAGGTATCTTAGTTTTCTTGCCTCTAAAAAAGTAAGAATTATCTTCACAATATGTGAATAAAATATGTTTCACTTATATCTGTGAAGTAGGAGAGACAGATGTGTAATCTGAAAATGTGAAGAGGATCTTGAGACTTAGCATCATCTTGTTCCCCCTGCAAGGCTAGCAAAGATTTTTGCAAACTCAGTTAATATCCTAGATCCTCTAGTATATTCCAGTTTTTCTGTTGGTTTCTCAACAAATACTGTCTTTGGACGTGTCCTCATCAGGCTTTAAATACCTTGTTGGAAGATGTTGGCTACCATCCTTAAGTACTAGAACAGAGGGCAGTGTGTTGCCATGCATTAAGATTGTTGACTTCAAGATTAGGCAGTTCCTCTAATCTTAGACTTTCTAAATGATTTGCAGAGTTGGTGACATCTGCACAGTGATGAGCTGCCCTTTTCCACCAGTGTTCTAGAACAGTAACATGTTAACTTCTAAATTGGCTGGGATCTTAGAACTTACTTTGACATTATCAAGTAATTTTTTCTTTTTTTTTCCCCTGGAAAAATCATGTGAATATCTCAGAAATTTTCAATGAGCTTATAGCTATAGTACTGTTACATATCTCGGGCAGATTGTTTGGATTATCCCTAATGTTTGTTTAATTCTCTGCACCATCAGCAAAGCTCAGCAGGTTGCTCATAGCTGTATTACACATCACTTTCTGTTTTCACTCTAAGTTTGGCCATCCTGAACTTTCAGGCTCTGAATTTTGCTCTGTTGCACCATGCTTGCTAAAAACATGGTTATCTCTCTACTTCCATGAAGCAGAAATTCCATGTGCTATAAAGACTGCAAGAATGTATTCTTTCTGTGTGTGCCCTTCACTGAAAAGTCTCAGAACATCTTCAGGTTATATGCACCTAGAAAATGAACACAAAAGCCCCAACTGGGGGAACTGAAGAAGCAGAACAATCATGCTTATGGAACACATTGTCCTTAATTTACTCGTCTGCTGCTGTCACCTAGAGTTTCCTGGGCAGAGCATAATATCAAGAGTAGATTTAACTTTTAGAAATGGTGAAATGCACCTTTTTGCCTTTTCATTCACACTGCTGCTGTAAGCACTGCTCTTTCTTTACAAAATTAAAAATGTCCATTATCTGGAAGTAATGCAGTTGTGCAGAAATATAGGGTTGTATGGCAAACCATAGCTGGAATTCTGTGGAATATCAGTAAAAGTAACATGAAGTTTGAGTCCCAGTTAGTAAGCAAATCTGGATATGAAGTTACTGTGAAGGTCTTGGTTACTAAGTAGCTTTGGCAGTAGTCAGGGAGGTTTATGTTTGTCAACTAATTGTTGAATGTGATGCATTCAGTAAGCAACTGTTTTATGGAAGAAGTTTTAAATTACATTTTATGATAACAAGTTGTTAAAGGTTTATGGAAACAGCGTGGCTAATTTTATACACATTATTTGGAGAGCATCACCTTGGAAGCGATGAACGAAGATAATTTCCTTTTCCAAGGGAAATGGTTGTTGCAGTAGAGATAAGAGGTTACAATTATAATGTCAAGCAATTGAGATGATTTGGAGAGAATGTATTCAAAGTTAAATATTTCTGAAGTTTCTGTATTTTACGTATGTGAACTGTGGAAGTACTTCCTGAGCTTGCCTGTTCTCCATTGGTTACATTGCTTCTGGTTGATAAGCCATTGGTTATTAGTACGGTGCTAAATTTGCCCTTGTACCAAATGACCCAAAGGGGAAAAGCTGCCTGTTTGATTACAATAATAATAGCTTTTAACAATTGGATTTACTTAGCTAGATGCTAATTGATCCACTTACAACTTTCTGCAAAAAGAGTTTGTGAATGTTACACAAGACTGCAGGGAGCTGCAGGCAAAAATTAGAAGACATCTGGTGAATTAGGGGTTATGAACTGCCAAGTTCTATTGATGGAAAACTGCACTTCAAAAAAGGTCTCAGTCAGTGCTGAACATTAAAAGGAATTATGCAAAGTTTAATTGTGGATAGTGGTATGAACCATCTCATTGTGTAGTTTCAATTTTCACATGAGAAGGAAAACATAGGTGATCTGAAAAAACTAAGATCTGTTCTAAATGAGAAGCTGTTCATTCTGTATTTTCTGTTGTTCTCCTGCTTTCCTTGGGGCTGAAGAGTGGAGAGATAGCTGGAGGGTGTGCGTGGTTATGAAATCAATTTAGAAACTTGAAGGAAAGAACTTTCTGTGTCCAATAATCTTTCAAGAAAAACAAGTGACTGATGCACTGAAATTTGGCAACTAGGATTTCCCCAACCTTGTGTAAGGTAATAAATAACATTTTAAGTGAACAGCTGTTTGCAATTTCACTTAAACAGAGCAGTATTTTTAACCTGAGATACACAGGTTTCTTTTCCCTCTCCCACAACCTTCCTATCTTACTTAGCTGTAACAAGTTGTGACCTGTCCCACTCCAAGTAAAAGAAAACTTAGTCACCATTAACTGCTGGTCTGTATATCAGTTGGGAAACAACCAGATGACTAACACACTCTTCCATGAGAGAAAAACAGCTACTGCATGTATCTGGTTGACTAGGCTCAAGTATAATTCCTGGAGTCTTCCTTAGGCATGAGTGTTACGTATTGCTAAGAAAAAAATTTCCAAGGAACTTAAGCAATTGCATTACGTATGTCTGTAATTCTAAGTAGTATGAGCCACAGGTGTTGCAACAGTAACACATGAATTTACATGAAGAGAGAGTATTTTTCACCTGTTTATCATATGGGGATGATGAGGTCTTCATGGATAATATTTTCTGATGTGAAGTAAAAGCCAAAATTTAAAAAATTGAATATAGCACATCTGGTGCTGCACTCAAAATACATAAAGTACTGCTGAAATACCAGAAAGTTTGTCGTCCCTGCTGTACTAACATTATAGTTTACAGTGACTGTTTCTGAACCTCCATTTCTTCATGTTAGATCAGGCTGATAACTTCTCTAAATAAAGAATAGTGCATATTTTAAAACTCTCTGGTTAGTAGAGAGTGGCAGCATCTGTTCCCATTTACATGTCCAAAATTGTTCTGGGTCTCAGTGCAGGGTTCCCAACGAAGGCAAAAGCAATGCTATGCGCAGTGGAAAGATGTGTTCCCACTTTAGAACACCTCAGACTCTGCCATAGCAATTTCCCACTGATTAAGTTCCTGAAAATGGCTAATACCTGTTGTTACAGGAGACACTTGCAATACTGTGTAGGGCTAAAGGCTGATCCAAGAATGCATCCTGTATTCTTGTGTCTTTTTGAACTTGATGTGAAGTGATGGTGCCAATTGTATATTCTGTGTGTTGGTAGACTGAAAATATTATTTGGTTTGCAAATTACTATTACTCTAACTAGTAATTCAATCAGCATTGGAAACTGCTAGGACAGTGCTTTGTTATGCACTCAGTCTGCATGAGAACATGACTATGATGGGTCATAAAAAATCTGCAAGTGACACTGTACAAAGCAGTGCAGTTGTATCTTCTGTGCGGTTTGTGTACAATTATATACAGTTTCTAGCAGTGATCTTAACATTAGTTTCTCCAGAATAAGAATAAAAAGAATGGGCAGATATTGGCTAAAGCATTTAGAAAAGAACTGCCCCTTGGCCATGCTTCTCTAAGTACTGTTTTTCCAGAGTACTTCTCTAAGTACTGTTTTTCCAATCCATAACATTACGTATTTTGAGAACTCAGATTTTTGGTTTTGGTGGAATACTTTCAGTGAAGTACTGCTCCATTGGAACCAACGGTAAAATTCTCAGTGTCTTCAGTGAAATCAGGGTTTAAGTATAAGCCACATACTACAGCCCTCATTTGCTACACTACAACTACAATTTAACATTTGAAACCAAGACTACCTTGGTAGTAAGACAAGGCCCCTTGCTAAGGCTATGGAAGAGTGATTTCCACTGTAAGTGAAAAATCAGTTTACAATTACAACTACAGTATCTTGTTTTATGCCAGAGTCCTATTTTGGCGTAGTCAAGAATTATGGCACGCACACATTTATAGTGTTTAGTATCTTTAATTGGCATTTCTAAAAATAGTTTTATTTGCAGTTATTTCTTTAAAATTATTTGTTAAGAATATTTTATTCTAACTATACAGTTCTAACGTGATCTTCATTTCTGTGTTTGCTCTCATCGCTGGTGGTGCTCATTACTAGCATTTGGAGATTTGGTGGTAAGTCTGTAAATTCTACTGTTCTGCACTTCAATATCAGCAGTAGGTTCACTGTACCTTCTTAAAGACCTGCTTACACTTGACTCCACACACTCTTATTTCCTACAAAGAGAAAATAATTAAAAAATACAACTTTTACATAGGACACATGCAAATTAGATTGGGTAGACTGTACATATTTTAGCCTATTTTTAATCTGAAAAGAAACCAGCTGGTCTGGGTTTGTTTTCTGGTGAAAGGTAGAGTAAGAGAATTTACTTTGGGATCTCAGATCTTAAAGGGCCAAAAAAGTTCCTGGTGCATTGCTCCCTATTTGCAGTTTGTGCAACTACTTAGGGCTTTAAAATGGTCATTCTCTATTTTGGACACATAAAAAAGTTATTTGGGGATGGGTTCGAATAACCAGTTCTCATTCCGTATGCTGATGACCCGTAGTTCAAACCTACAAAACCAGGAATGAGCTCAAAGCCCATTCTAGTAGCACAATGACCATGGCTAGGACATGACAGGTAGTTGTGCAGAGAATATTTGCTCTAGGTGCATAAATCACAGCACAGCAGTGAGTTCTGACTGAACTTGACCATACTGGTTGCCCAATGCTTCCTGCTGTTCCTTTGTGTTCCGTAAGATCTTTTCAAATATCCCTACTTGCTAGAACTTGGATCATTGTGAACTGCGGATAAGCAGGTGCAATGTTGTTTCCATCTTGGGCACCGAGTTGTGAGGGCTACTGTGGTTTACCTAATGTCACTGAAGATGCAGTTTAATCTTCCCCATTACTGCAAGTATGTAAGTTAGACCTGAGAAGTGCACATGGTATGTGTGGGGATGTGTGGAGGTGCTGACTAGGTTTGGTGGAAGAAGAAAAAGGGATAGAACTTCTTAAGGGACATAAAGACAAAGGTTATGTATCACCTAGAAGAAGGGATGTACTTTCAAGATAAGACTCTTAAAGCTGCCAGAGTATTTTGAGGAAACAGGAGGCAGAGTTCCCTGGGAAGTTATGCACATTTTCTTATGGGGGACTAAAAAAAACCTTACACTGAGTCAATAAACTTATTGGCATATGTTGCCAGTCCCTAGTAAGAGAAAGTGCTTCATGATAAATTGATGAAACAAGCAGACTGATGCAGTGATCTTAGTTAGGACCAGTTTTGTTCACTTCTATATAGGTAACCCGGAAGAAGGAGTGTGCAATAAGGCCTAAGAGATCTGCTGACAGTGACAAAAACCTACAGAGCAGAAGCAATCAATACAATAGAAAGGGGCAATAAAACTCAAAAGGAAATGGAGAATGGTCAAATAAGTCACTCACATAAAATAGAATCTAAGGAGCAAAAAGAACGACAAAGTACAGACCAAAGAATTAAATGAAGAAAATAGGAGGCGATAAACTACTAAAGGATGTGGTACTACTCTCCACAGAACTGTGGAAAGAATTAAATTAACACATGGCTCATTGTGTAAAGTTCAGTAGGACCATAAAGCTATCGAAGTACCAATTTTTTAGAGGTAACTGCTCATTGTATCAAAGGACTTTCAAGAGTACAGGACCTAGTAATCTTAGATGGTCAAAAATAAGATACTAAATGGGAGGCTTTTACTGTATGTTTAACAGAGAGAGCTACATTAACAAGGATTCAGACAAATAAAGAGGACATCTTTTGAAGTTCATGAGATATAAAAAGTGATAAAATTGAAATATTGGGGACTGGCCTCTAAAATACTTGGCTTACTTCCTTTGCATGGAGTAATTTTGTACTGACTGCTGTGTACGAGAGACAGACTGTGATAAATGGCACAAGTGCCAGTGAGTGCATGGATGCCTGCATGGGCCAGCAGGTATGATACAGAACTCTTCACAGCCTTCTGAAAAAGCAGCCTTGGTTACTTTGAGGTACTAAAGAGGCACTAGACACACATATTTGAGCAACTGAATGTGAATTTATGGCTTCTAAAGTCAAACTACTGACAGCGTCAAGTAGAGAAAGTGGTCCCGCTTGGAGGTCCACGGCTAGGTTGTCTGGCTAGAGCATGAATCAGAGTAAGGAAAGCAGAAATTGGGGCTAAAGAAATTGGTGTTGGGGAAAGGAAATGAGAGGGGATAATGACTGCAGAACTGGCAAGGGATGGAACCCAGGATGCCACTACAGAGAAATCCAAGATAACAACTGCTATTGCTTCATGTACATGCAGAGGAGTGCACGTATGTGCATGATTGAGAGCACCAAAGTCTAAGCTGACCTTCTAGGCTACACATCATATGTCTAAGTGCAACCAGTGTGCCAGCAGAGAATCTGAAAGGGCTGATGCTTGGTGTCACAGCACCAGCTGTTGTGAAGTTGGGAGGTAGTGTGGAAATACTATAGTGTGTTTGGGTATACATAGGGGGAATACATATACACGAGAAATTGTGGAGTCTCCTTTTTTTGCTTCCCCTCTACTTTCAGTGAGCCCATGAACTCAGCTATGAAATGATCACTTACACAGTAAACTTTCTCCCTAACTGCATTACATCAAGTCTGTAGTCCAGATGGTAAGATCTGTCATATATATTCCTTTCCCAAAGTGGTTTCTGTAAATTCCAGTACCTCCTGAAAACTGTGTTTCATAATAAGGGGTTTGGGGTACTTTTACAAAGATTTCATAACTCTGCTACTGATCTGAATATTTAGAGAGCATCCAGTAGATGCAGAATGCTAACAGTACTCAACAGTGAAGAGAAACAGAGGTTGGATTTTATTATCTCAGCAGTAATACTGCCTTTTACTTGTAATGATGAGAGTGAGGATGCTATAAAGAGCTATGTGAGAAAAGAATAGGCATCTTCTTTTGGGTCCTGTTAACTTAGAAAGATAAAAATGATGATCTGAAAGAACATGACATTTCAAAAACTTAATTGCTGTTTTAGTTCTCTAGGCTGTAACGCAGTCAGGGCCTGTAATTATTTTAAAAGAACAATGGTGTGTTTTCCCCTTATGTCTTCGTGTTGGATGCATAATTTCACCCGCTCCCATACTGTGTATTTCAGAGACTGTATGAAGGACATTCTGTTAAATGTCTTCCTTAATGTAAACATTTCAAACTGGTATGTCTGGACAGACAGTTAACACCGAAAGAGTGCTGCTTTGAAATCAGGCAGTCTTTGTAAGGGACATAAAAGCATAATGGCTCCAAATGAAATTGTTGCTTTAGAAACGAGTCAAATGCCACACCAATACATAATTATGTCAAATTAAGCCAAGATAACATAGCACACAGCCTGCTGTATGAAATCTGTTTTAATAGAGTGGCATTAAAAACCTGTTACATGATCTTACCAGGTGCATTTCATCTCCTTCAATCCACTGGGTCCAACCACGACCTTCTTTTTCTCCATTCTGTACACAAAGAAGCTTATCTCCATCCCAAGATACAGTGGTCTAGCAAAATAGACATGTTCGGTGTTACTGTAGTATTGTCTCGTATTATGCTTCATTTCCTTCAACCAAAACATCTCTCTAATATAGTAAGTGCTTAATGTATCTCATAGGAAGAATAATTGTATAGTGTTGTAACACTTAAGATAATTACAAAAGAAATAAGCTTAAACAGAAAGTTGCTGCCCAATACCTGTCAAAACCTGAGAGGATAAGATAAAGCTGTTTAAATGCAAGAAAAAAAAAAATCATTGTGTAAGAGCACACTCCTCTCTCCCTGCTGACAAATATAGCAGTAGAAAGGATGTGCAGCCTAACATGGTATTTGCAAAAGGAGCGGAAAACCTGAGATTCAGTTTGTTTTTTCCACCATAGGAAGGACTTCCAGCTGCTCTGCCTGAAAAACGTACCCACCTACTGGCAGCTATGGATGAACAAAGCTTTTAAATCCCAAGCTGGTTTTTCCCCACATCTTAATCTGCTTTCCATCATGGAGCACTGTGGTTTGGAATCAGCACACTGGTAGCTCTGCCAGAATCCTGCTTTGTGTAACTGTAGCTGGAGAACTACTTGAGCCAGGACTGGCAGAGTAAGAGTGAGCGAAGTGATGCAGGATTCAGCTTCACTTTTGTGAGTATTAGTGCTGTCCTGTGTAGTTCAGTAGAACTTTATTCATAGAACTACTTAAATGTTTGAGGGTGCATCCTACAGCTTGTTACTCCGGTTAGTCCTTACCGATAATGTGCCTTTCACATCTCCCTAAGGTAAAGAGAAGCAATATTCTGTAAAATATTTGAAGAAGCAGGGGAAGAGCATTGACAGTTTGTGCTCCATGAGGTTAGTTTAACATCAATATTAGCACATGGCTTTTAAACCAACTGGTTTGAAATTAATGTGAGGACTAAATATGGAATTACTGTCCACCTTGTAAAAGTATTCAGCCACTTGCCTGTATGAATAATCAAATACAGAGAGAAGATGAATTCTGATCTATCATTAAAGGAAAACTTCATGTATCCATCCTGTGTAGGTTCTAAGAAAAGAATTCAGCCTGCATTTATCATTTTGGGAACTAAAAACATTTCAACGTTCAAGAACTACACAGCCTTATTTATTTAATTTGTATCTGTCACAAACAATTCTTAAATGATAACCATGATAAGCCTCTATCTTTAAATGAGTACAAGCAGCAGTCTCCAGCCCTGGGAAGCTTTAGACTAAAGAAGCATGGAAATAAATCACTTGAAAGAGTGCCAGCATAGATACTCATAGGCAAGGCATTGTTATTGATCCCATATATAGTCTGTTTGCACCATATGGGGTCTAAAAAAGACCAACTTGTGTCCTTGCCGAAGGTCTCTCCAATTTGGAAGATGCATTCACAGATACATCTGTTCATACTTGTAAAATGACGTATTTAAACCAAGTATTAGATAACAATTTGAAAAAAGCCATGTCCTTTTAATGTATAAAATGCTAAAGCAGGAAGGAACAACAAACTTGGGTAAAGCTGTAGCTAATGTGGTCATCATAGTTTAAATCCTCTTCCATATCTGTTTTGAATCTGTAGACATCCAGTTGGAGATGGAACATAACAAATAATACTAGTCAAAGTGAAAAATGTTTAATTTAAAAGTCAACATATTTAAGAATTTCTGATAATTCTAAAAAATGAATATATCAGAAAATGAACATTATTTCTTCCGATGACTTTTAAATGTGAGGGATATTGTGGAATGAAGTATTTGTATGTGCAACTTTGCTTAGTAACTGCACTTATTTTTATCAATTAAGTACTAACTCAGCATAGTTTAATCATTAGACTAGCTTAATAGTTAAATTTTGTGGGTTTATGTGTGAATTTAAAAGCAGTATACCATGATAAAGTAAAATCTAACTTTATTAGTACTAATAATGTTCAAAGTCTTGATAATATGCCCTAGCTTAGTACACTTCTTGGAAAATTGGTAAATATTTGTAGCAGTGCAGGGAGATGTTAACTTTTTCAGCCTCCGAGGGTGGTTGAAATTGTTTAACCTCAGAAACCAACACACTTTTTTTCTCTGGATTTCTTGTTTTTCTATTCAAGATTAGATACTGCTTTTGGCAATGCCATGATAACCACAAGGAGTATAATACCACAGACCATTAACCATGCTGTTTTATCAGCCAATATTCTCAGTTATCAACCTCTGCCTTCCCTTTGAGAAATATAAATACTGAAGGGATATGAGTAAACCATACAGTTTCTGATTTTTGTATGTGGCTATTTTGCTATGAAGGTTACAAAGGACAGACTGTATCGCAGGAGAACATAATGTCTTCTTTGTTAGCAGGATCAACCACTTTATGACAGTAAGATTAATCATCAGCATTTTAATCTTTTCTTTCTCTAGGTCAGACTGTAATACCTTATATAATAAAAGGCACAACTAATACAGAAGATAGAAACTTCTCTTTTAACTCATACTGAAATAAGTTCTTCCATTCTTCTGTACCTCTATCGAGGTACACACTGAGTAGTAGTGGGGTTTGGAGTTGCTATGGCTGTTATACAGTCACTGGCTGCTGCTAATAGTCCACTCTCTACCAACAGCTAAACTACAGCAATGCTTGCCTTGAGTCTGAACATAATAATATTCCAAAAATACCACTGTAGGGTAAATATGATCTCTTTTGTTGTATATAAGAACAAAAAATTATTTTAAAAGATTGGATCAGGATATTGCCATTGTATAACTAGGAGTCAAGTCCTTGAATAGCCTAGTAAGGCATGAATGAAACTTTAGTTGCTGTTTTTTTCCTCTCCTGGCACATACTTTCTATAAAGATAAAGAAATGCTTAACCTTTTATGTAAAGCAACTTTTCTTGGAAAAATAGGCTTTTATAGTTGACCTTGTTTGCCACCATTTTGATAATAGCATTATCTAAGACTTGCCTGATTACAGAGACTGAGCTATTGCCTTGTATCTGGCATGACTGAAAATCTTTGCCAGGGTTTGGTGAGCACAACATCCCTGGGCAGATAGCTCCTGTTCTTCATCTTCCTCCACAAGCAATGGGAGAAGTAGACAAACTCTGAGGACACTGGAAAGCTGCAGTTTCCTGATGCTAACAGAACCAACTAGATGAAAATGTAGTATTTCTCCAAAATGGAAGGCTCCTGAGTTTTTGAGCATCTTGTACTATTTGCAGGGTAAACTGGGTAGTACATAAACTAGATTGTCATATGCAAGCCTGAGTTTTGCTTACTTACTACCTGATCATACCTAAACCTAAGATGACTACCTCTTAGGTCAAATGCATGTAATTCTGTAGGAAATTCAATAGAAAATAGGGATTAATGTGATTAGTCAATAGCGTGATTAGGAATACTGAAGGAGCACAAGAGAAGTTCTGCAGTCTTACACTTTCTGTGTACTTAGATATTTTCCTTTTATTACTTGGCCATTTACATACCTTTGTTAGTGATTTTATGAAGATTTAAATACATGTGCATAGCAACACCACCTTCCTGAAAATTAAAGCTAGAAGAAATGATAATTAAAGTATTCTCATTACTGTTTTCAGTTCTGAGACAAGGTAGATTTATTAAATGAAATATTTAGTAAAACCAAACCAAATCTATTGACTATGTATTTGCATTTTCTCTAGCAACAGTAACAGTAGTGAAGTCTTGCAGAATTACAATAGATATTACCTCCAGCTTCTAGTGGCAAGTCGCATTGACCCACAGCCAGAGATACTGACTTTTGTAATTACTGAAATAGTCAGCAGCCTGTCGTATCAGAGAACCTTGCACTTCCCAGTGAGGGGTCTAAGTACAGAAACATTTGATGCTGGTTCTGCGTAGTGTTTCTGATTCCCATGCTGAGTGTTCCTCGTGTGCTTGCTTGTGTCCTGTGCTCTGCAGCTGAAGATACATAATGTGTTGTACAGGTGAATGAAAGAATTTTTTTTATTTAAGGTAGTCCATGGACATTTTTTGTTAATGCTACATAGATTTTTGATACATTGCATACGAATTGCAGCTACCACCTTTCATCAAAAACATTACTGGTTTCCCATCTGTAGGAGAAACACAGCAGTACCAGTTGTATTTTTCTCCTACTTCCCTTCAGTGTTGTCTCTATATTATGGTGCAGTAAATGACTGCAGTGCTCTAAAACTGCACAACACACTCTGTGCTCCATCTCAGTCCAGAAATTCTGTGCTTATGAGAGTGACCACTCATTTTACAACTCTAATTATGATTTAAGAAGGACTAAACAATGGCAAGTAATTTGTTTAGGTCAGATGACACAAGAAAATCCATTCTGAGTGGTGTCCTGTATTGTGTTGACAAATAACACTGAAGAAAGTATCCTAGAATTTTTAGTCAAACATGGCAATATATGCAACAATATATTTAACAGCTTTTCAAGATAAAGTATTTCATCTGTACTAAGTATCAAAGTGATATAAAACCCTCTGGTAAGCAGCCTTCAGGGGTAATTTTCATGAAATGAAGTGCTGATGGAATAAACTAATGTTGATATCACAGACAAAATCTCATGTAACTGTGAAAGGGTGTTCTGTGACGTTGTAGTCACTACCTATGACTGTCTGCGTAGGAGGCATGCTGCATGCCGTAATGTTGATATCACAGACAAAATCTAATGTAACTGTGAAGGGGTGTTCTGTGATGTTGTAGTCACTACCTATGACTGCGTAGGAGGCATGCTGCATGCCACTAACAGGAGGGCTACAACCATGTTCAGGGTTTGTCATCTCTCCATCCTGTAACTCCTTTTATGTCATCAAATCTGCATCTGGCAGGTTTGTGACAGACAGATAAACTACTGAGAGAACAACAAACTCAACAGAAAAATTAGCAGTAGGATTCCTGGACTTCATCTCAAGATACTGTTGCTGGACGAAGGCTACACATATGTAGCCATCCTGTAGCTAGATCTAATGATAAACTCTATACCAACCTTTCCTTCCCTTACTCATTGCAGTT